CTATAGAACAATTGAGGGTGTATACGCGAATAGGCATGTCTTACGCTAAAACCTGTTCGCAGCGAAAATATTCTCTTTCCTTCCTTCCTTTTCTCATGATCCCACTCGACCCGCCACATATCTATATAACCCGCCGTAACTGATTCAGTATCGAACTTTTAGCCCCGCTTCATGATATTTTTTCTTGTTTTACTATAGGGTTTGTGTTTTACTGTAGAATGATTTGTGTTTTACTGATTTGGAGTCTTGCTTTTTGCTATATACTCGTTTCCAATTTTTCCCCAGGGCCGGTTTTCGAGGTTTAATTTTTCCCCCCGAAAGTTGGTTGAAACCGGACCAACCGTACCGGTGGCTACGACCCCGTTCCCTAGCTTAGTTTTCTGCCTTTGTTTTCTCAGTATTTTTATGAAGACGATTTTCCGATACACTGTTTTGATAGAGGTAAAAAAAAAACATATTGAAACCTGGAATTTAGTCTTTTTGGCATTAGTATATTTTTCTAATCTTGCTTTCGCTATTTCTATCAGTTTCTTATAAAAGTCTTATCACGGAATCCTTCGAAGTTTCCAGAAATTTTTTGAATTTTCAAAAAATTTCTCTTAGCCTAACCATACTTGTGTGCTATTGTTCATACAATTTTAATCTATTCTCTGTGAATTATATTCAAACATCTTTCTCGATAAACCTATTTACTTAATTAAACCAGTTAGAACCTGTTACTATGCAATTGTGTTGTAGTAATCACCTCAAGTCTAAGAGATAGTTGTATACAGGTGTGTAATAAAAACACCTGGTTCACGTTTGAAAAGAACTTGCTTTCCCCTATCTATTTGCATTATTACCGTTTCAACATAATTACCTTCTGAACAAGGTTCCCGATGTCCTCAAAATAAAATTCCATATGAAGCGACTTATTTTTTCCAAGGCTTTTGTATTTCCGAAACTATGATTTTTGACATCCTTGTTATTTGGTTCCGCTTACTATGCGTGACAAAAGAATGCGTTACTCATCAATATACGAAGCGTTACTATTTCGAAGCATGACGTGTCTAAGTTATTATTTATTTATTTTATTTTACATTACTCATAGCAATTAAATTTGCAAGCAAGCACTATTCTATTAGGTCATTGCCATTATTTTTAACAATTACGCTTGACGTATAAAACTACTGATGCAAGTAAAAAATAACTACATTGAATTGTTTGCTGGCACCACAGGAATCATAAACTTATTAGTTTTAGTACTACATAAGAAAATAAAGAAATCATTGAAAGTCGACAGCTGGTTGCTCTAAATTGTTGTACGGTATCTATATAAAGACATATTGTAGAAAAGCACTGAAATGAGTTATTCATAAACTCGTTTCAAACATTTATACCGGAAGCTTGGTTTTATGCGTGGCAATTAAAAATATAATACGAAAACTAGTTTTTTTAAAGCATAAATATTGGGAATTATATTACCCATTTCGAGATTGAGTAAAAGACTCTGGTATGAAGTTGGATTTGTAGTGCATTTTGAAGGTGTTTTAGGGACGAAAAAAAATAGATGCCATCTTGGAAATATTTCCCTAAAACAGTCCGACAATGCACCGCAATGTCAACTCGACCTAGTCTTTTCCGCAACCTCGGAACGGTTATTAAGCGACTTGACTGATTCTTAATTGCGGGATATCCTATCCCACTGAATAGTTGGCGCGCTTTTGCACTTGTAAAATTAAATTTGGCGCCAAACCAAGAAACGAAAAACCCGCGCGGGGCTGTATATGTACGTGTACGAAGGACGAACTCCGTGTACTTCATTTTTTTTCTACATATTTAAGTCACTCTCGGGATATGAATTCAGACCTAATGTTAAAGTGCCTATCACCCTTGTGACAATATTCTCAGTATTGATTCTAAATGGGGAGATGTCGAGTAAATCCGAAAAAAATTCATAGTTTGAATGCGGCTTCTTGAAGCTATTAAGGTTTTTCCATGCCATTTTCTACGTATGAGGAGGCATTTATGGTTATTTGTTCCTTGTAATTCTAAGCACCGGCTTCTATGTGAAAATTAACTTGCAATAATTTCTATAAGAGCAATGGGAAAAACAATGACGTATTCCAAATTTGATTTATCTGTGCTCGTAATGTTTTACTCTTCATACGTCACAACATTAGCATATGACATGGAAAAACCTTTAAAACTTCAAGAAGCCGCACTCAAACTATTTTTTCCCCGAGTCATTCAGCATATTACCCCACGCAGAATCAATACTATAAATTTTGTCAGAAGGGTGATAGGCACTTTAACCTGGGGGTTTCCATGAAGCGATTAGGAGTATTGATATTCCCCCTGAATGGGATGCTAGTCCCAGGTTACCCCCAACACATCAGGTTACCCTAAAGATTTTTTCGTGTCTAATTATACACCTGGGTGAAGTAAGGGAACGAGATTAAAGTAAAGCATCTAATTGCCCAATTTAACATATTATGAATGTGTTTATATATATATATATATTTACAATAGTTTACAAATTTCTCGCGCGCTGATTGTTTATCTTTTATCATCAATAAGAGGACAGACAGTGATAAGGCTGACGTCAACGAGCGCGCGCTCTTTCCGTTGATTGTTTTGATCGCAAAAAAACGAGAATATTTTATCGGTTTTGTAAAATTAATTGTAAAAAACAAATAGACATCAGTTTTTTATGTGTCTGGCATCTTATTGACGATTAATTGCGTCATCACATTGTCAAAGTAGTATACGGATCCACACTACTTTGACAAAGTGATGACGCAATTTATCGTCAATAAGAGGACAGACACATAAAAAACTGATGTCTATTTGTTAACTCAACTATGATACAAATCAATCGAATAAGACTTAAATTAATGCTTGGCTTCATTACACCTATTTCCAAAATTACGCGACCGGCGCTGCTAACGACTCTTCTCGTTTTCTGTGTTTTGATGGCTGCCGTCACCCAAATATGAAAACGGCTCGCTCTTGCGAAATCCTTGCTTTGTAAATTCTGAAACGAAGCAAACTTGTCTTTCTGTAATATTCAAACGGTTGAAACTTTAAGATCATTATAATTTGGGCTTTTTTGAATGAAAACAAACCGTCCGGAGTTTGATTGACGGCAGCCAAAACGCAAGTACCCTTCAAGTGCCAACTACACAGCAGGTCGCGTAATTTTGAAAATAGATGTAAAGTTGAAACTTTGCATGTTTGGACGAATCTCACCTCGTTTTTTAATGCCTAGGATTCCAATTTTGACCTTTCTTAGCCGGATCACGTACGAGGTTCAGTGCTTTCCTTTTTTTACCTGTCCTAAACAGCCGACAAAAAATGTATTCGTGTTGGTCTTCCATCACCTGGCACTGATAATTATCAGAAGTGTTGCAGTCTACTTTCTAGAACCACCTTTTTTGTAAGGATCATATGCTTTCTCTGAATTTCCGAAAATGACAAGGAACTTTAGCATATTTTCAAAAACCCTAGTCTGCGTGGTCAGAAATCCTCAAAAAATAAATGACTCGATAGCTACTTGTAACAGAGATTTAACCAAGATTTATGAGACTTCAATGAATGATAAATGCACTGCTTACTGTAATCATTGCAAACCTGGCTGAAGTTGCAGTTTCGTAGAGACCGAAAAATCCCCAAAGTAGAAAAAAATTTCCCCTCTGGATCTTCCGGAAAACCGAAAGTCAAAGTTCCAAATATGGACCCCTCTCCCCCCGGCTCAGAGACCTGTTGAATGCTGGACAGTGGGTATCCGTGTAGTGAGTAATTCTACAAACAAATTAAAACGTTTAGCATATATGAAAACAAGCGACACTTTATTCTGTTGACAAATTTCGTGTTGAAGATATTTGAGCCGGAATAAACCAAGAGTGTACATGCCCGGAACAGAAACTAAAAAGAATAATCTTTCTCGGACAGAGCCAGCTGCATTATAGTTCTGGAGGTCGGGCTATGCGGACCGTTAACGTTATTATGGCTTACTACAAAAGCTAAGCTTGGGTTCCATGCAACTCGCATCAAGCCGGGTGAGCTTTTTGGGTGTAACAAACTAATATAAGAACCTATACTATTGGAAAAATTCCATCAGGTTTCTATTATGATGGTTGGCATGATAATTTATTGTGACTCGACTATATGCACGTGAAAAATGTGGCGGTGAAAAGAAAGGCAAAACCTCGGAGGAGCTTCTTCTCGGCCACTCCCAGATTACATCCGGGAATTGAAATGCTGATTAAGCGAATAATCTTACTTGAAAGGTCCGATATGGCTGAACACAGTTCGAACCAACTGTACGTATCAAGAAGGAAGTCATACAAATAATGCCTGTGCACGTGCGAGGGCCGAAAAGGGAAATAAATGACGCCACAGGCAAAATTTTGTACCCAGAGCCTACGTTGACCCTGAGAGGAACATGGACTCTGGGCACGAGATTGAAACTACGCTTCCGCTGGTCAGCAGACGTCACCCGACGGTTATGACCTCGTCCGTCTATTTTTAACCACTGTGTTCATTCCAATTATCAAAAATATTTTTTCGAACTAAATGCTGTCAGAGATGATCATTTATTATCGTATGATGCAAAGTTTGCTTAAATATTTATGAGCACGTTTTCAAGCTAGATACGTAGGCACATTCTTGGTAGGAATTGAGTTGATTGAATGAGAAAAACCGCAAAACTTAGACGACGAAAGCCGCAAATTTGGATAGTCTTTATAGAGTGAGATTATTATCAGTATAACTACCGATATTTTCTTTCCTTGTATTCCAAAATATTTCATGACACAAGGTTCTAAGATAGAACCTCGTCGATAAAAATTATATCTTATAGTGTTTTGATCGCAAATTGACTAGTAATACAATATTCCATTTCGCACTCTTCTTACTGGCAGTTCGACATAAATTACCTATATATCCCAAAAAATGTTTAGCTGAGTTAGCTGGATTATTTATGAATATGCAAAACAATGCATTATTTTGATACTTGCCTTTTGATGTTTTCCTATATATCTTGAAGATAATATTCTCGAATTCAAAGTCTTGCTGAAGCGAGTTAAATTTGAAGGCCTCTTGTACCAGAAAATTTACAGATCTCGCTCTGGACCGAGTAGCTGAATTAAAATTTTTAGTCTGTATGAACTGAAAAGGTTACTTCATATATTGACAGCACATATCTGTTTGAACTGTTATACTGACGTACGACTGTAATTAATTCTTGACCTAGACACCTGTCAAGTCACGTACTGTTCTAAATTCCGTCTTATTGCTTCTCCATCGAATTATGACTTCCTTGAACACAGGGCTAATATTTTCCCCATATATATGTTCCATGGCTAGCTTTGTATTGTCAGGCATAATTATATGTGTCTGATATACGCGCGCATATTATACAAACTAATATATTTGCGCTTCATGGTTTATGCATCATTGGATGAATCCACTACGACAGTTGGGGTCTTAATGACGCCAGACTTCAATTTAAAGTTGGTTTGCGTAAATAAGAGGTCACGTCGTCACGCAAGGGGCTGTCGTCGAGTGTAGAGGAAGACGGAACTCGAGAACGTTCTAGATCTAAATTTGTTGGGTGTTTTTGAACCAGAGAGGGAAGAGATACTCTTCACGTCACTCGCTAACCCTGGTGTGAATATGGATCTTAAAAGCTTTGAACGTGGGACTCCATCGCCGATTGCTCGCGCGATTTTGTCACACAATTCTCGAATTGTGAGATTTCGCGGCTGATGTTTTGTTATGATTTATATGCTAATGGCATCGCAGAGTACACAGAGCGTCATGCAAAAAATCGTGATGTTGAAATTCAACAGTCACGCGCTCTTTCGCACGCATGGATAACGTGCGTGAAGTAACGTACTTCTACCGCCTGGGCCTAGTGGATATATTTATTGGATGACCTCATCGACTTATCCACTGGATAAGGATTTGTCCGTTGGATAGCGCTATCCACCCTGCGTACAACCGGGCCCTGGTGTACACTGCTGATGAAACATAACTAAACTAAACTAACTAACTAAMTAAATAAATTATGRTTGGCCAAATGTTGCAAAATTCAACAGCATGTATATTTATATTCAACAAAATATAATTACATTCAACAATAAAATTGTGTTCAAATTCAACCTTCGTTAATTATATTCAACACTTATATTTGCATTCAACTACAAAATTGTGTTCAAATTCTACCTTCGTTATTTATGTTCAGCACATCATATCTATTCAACTTCAATGATACATATTTCTATTCAAGGCTGCCTTCGTTTATCTATAC